TGCTGAGAACCTCTTTTTAATATTTCTTCTACTATGTTTTAAAAAGAGATGTAATGTATGACAAATCATACTTGTTTGGCTTGGAGCTTTCAGAATTGACACCTGCCATATTTAGGGGAGGATTCCACGTGGAACTGACTTATTATCATTCCAGAGGGTCAGCCAGGTGCTCCCTGTCTCTTCCCTTGTGTGTCTGTCCTAACAGCATGTCTGAGGAATACTTCACTGACAGGTACCAAGAACAAGCAGTGCTTGAAGACGACACTTGAAAATATATGAATAATTAGATCTGAAAGTTAATTTTAGCAGGAAACCATGTTAAGTCTGCAAATGCAAAGGTGGATGGCATCTAAGCAATGCTGTCCCTTCAGTAGACAGTGTTGCTCTTTAGATTTGCTCCATTAGATTCTAGTTTTAACACAAAGAAGGCAGAATATGAGAGACACTGGTAATATCAACCAAGAAAATTACGTGCAGATTTCAAGAGGCACAGTGAGAACTGCTGGAGCTAAAGCAAGAAAGTAACAGCCACATCATTCAGAAGTAAATGAATGTGTGCCCAACGGTAATGCATGCTGCCTAGGTATACACACTCTAGAAAAAAATAAAAGGGAAACATAGCTATTTGTGTGAACTTGAATGTAAAGGAAAAAAGGTAATCAAAAGTAAGACAGGTACACACGAGGTACTGCATAAGGCATCATTTATGATGGAACACCAGGAAGATTATAGGACAGAGGTAAGAGGATATAAAAATAAAATCAAAGATAGAGAATGAAAGGAAGATTGTACAACATATTAGGATAAATGAGAAGACATCTGTCAAACATTCAAAGGACAAGATAATAGTGAATAAGAGGAAAAATGATTAAGGGATAGGGATGGTAATTTAATAAAACACAGGAAGAGCCAAACTGTACCAGACAGATAGCTCCTATCATGCACTATTTACATTCATCTGTAACATTATCGATAGCCTATCATGTAATTTCACTCCTGCAGGAATACTGCTACCTGTCACCGCTCCCCACAGGTGACAGTGCATTTGTCACAGGCTTTCTTTGTGGAGTCTCTCAACAAAGGGCGGTTTGACAAATGAGACTCTTTAATTTAATTATTGTGTAATGAGACATGATATTTAAAAATATATCTATATGCTGTTCTGATAGGGGTTTTTAAAATATATGAATTTACTTAAACCAGAAGCTTAGGCACATAAAGTGGTGCCTAAGTTGGAGCACTGTCCCTCCTCCCACCCAGAATGTTCAACTTGTTCTTGTGTTTTCCTAGTCTTCCTGGATGTTTGATACAGATAGAATATAAAGCTGTGGGACAGAAAATTTGTTTTGTCCTCAATTCCCTGTATGTGTAAGTTTAGATAAGTCACTTAACCCCTCCACATCTTCATTTTCACCAGTACAGAGCCAGGCAGCATACCCTCTGTGTGTCTCTAAAGGCCGGAAGAGTAAATGAGGCACAAGACGGTATTATAAGCCCCTCTGATCCCACACATTAGTCTGGGTACCACTGATCCTGACTGTGTAACCCATCTTTTAGAGTGCTGATGCCACAAGTCCATACCTTCTGGTGCCAGGCACCTCACATCCTCTCCTCTCCCAGAGTCCATCCAAGAGAGGCAGCTGTTATCATCTGTGCAGAGGGAAGATCATCTTCCCGCACAGTAAGGACTCTGCTGGCCCTGATCAGTTCTGCCCACCCCCAGCCTCTGACCCCACATGCACCAGCATGGAACTTGGTGTGTAATCAGGCTAATTTTGAATTACCATGAAGCCAGCTAGAACGCAGTGTGCTGGAACCCAGAGGCTCTCAGTCTTGGCTCTCCTCACAAGCACTCAGCAGCAGCTTTCTATGAGGCTCTGACAAATGCCCAGAAAACTGCCCAGCCATCCACATTCACTGGCAAGCATAGCACCAGGCATATGACTGGTTTGCATGGTACTGAGAAGGCATATCAAGAGAGGGAGCACCATCCCCCAAGGATGGAGACTAGATAGATATAGCAAAATGCCTAACAAAGTAATTACTCAAAATAGTCATGATCATTGTTTCTTTTTTAATATCTAAGAAAGGGGAGCATATACAAAATGATCAGGGATGGCTTCACAGAGCATGGGGAGGTTGGAACTGAATCCTGAAGGCTAGAATTATTTTGGATAATTGGAGAGGAGTTAAGGAGCAATAGTATGAACAAAAGCTTTTTCGAGGAATACTCATAGAGAGGTAGGTAATAAGGATGGTGATAAGGTTGGCAAGATTATTTAAGAAATTGTTTAGTGGATATATGTAACAACATTCCTTCAATATTTGCTATAAGGTAGGCATTGTGCCAGGAGCTGGATATAAAGTGATGGACAAAACAGACCAAGTTCTTGTCCTCTAAGAGCTTACCGTACAGTCAGGGAGGCAGCCAATAAATACATAAGCCAACATATGGATAAGTAATTCTACAATGCATGGTGCTGTGAAGAAGGTGTTTTGTTGCATGCAGAAAGTGAAGAAACCTAGACAGGTGCCCTGCAAATGCTCACGCCATGAAGAGATGCTTATAAACTGAAAGCTAATGAATGGCAAAGATCCAGTCACTGAAAGTATAGAGGAAAAGCTCATTCCAGGCAAAGACAAGATACAAGAAGGCCCTAAGAAGGGGAGAGTTGGACACATTTCATATACTAAAAGGAAGCCAGGGAGGTTGATTGCAGAGGGCTTAGTCATAACCATTTTAACTTGTTTCTAAGTATGGGTCGTGAAAAAAATCTTGACATCTAAATGTTGCAGTACTCATATAATCAGTACTGAGTTTGTTGATGACACTTATAACTTACTGTATAAATTAATTAGGTAAGTAGAAGTCAAGACAGTGAATTATATCTTGGTTATCCAGAATTTAAAAGGGAAGGTGGATTGAGATACATTGATTTTCAAAAATTTGATGCTTTTGCACTGACTGGTGTGGCTCAGTGGGCTGGGCATCGAACTGCAAATTGAAAGGTCATGGGTTCAATTCTTGGTCAAGGCATACTGGTGTTGCCTTTCTATGTTTCTCTCGCACATTGATGTTTCTCTCCCTCTCTTTCTCCCTCCCCTCCCGTCTCTCTATAAATAAATAAATAAATAAATAAATAAATAAATAAATATAATCTTTTTAAAAAATTCAATGCTTTGAACTATTAAGAATCATTAAACTCGAAGGTGTGAATATTGAAGTAAATTATGATCTTTTGGTAATAGAGGTATTAAAAAAGCAAAAATAATGTTATGTTCAAATGATAATGTACATTTTCTCTGTGGTAAGAAATACTAGTGCTGGTGATGCAGTAATTCTTATTATATGATATTGAAAGATGACTGTAATGTAGATCGAGTCCCCTGTGACAGTCTCCCGTGACAGCGAAAATAAGAATGATATCATAGAGTGCAGTCCAGTCCAGAGTAGACAAGCATCTAAAGCAGGTTCTTCAGCCAAAATCTTAAGGTATTGACCTTAGTAATTCAAAGGAAACATTTAAAATTATACATGTGTACGTATGCGGGGTATGGATATGTAAGAAGTTATTTGACCCATCTGAGCCTCAAATCTAACAGTTAAAATAATTTCATTATTTTTGTTTTAGGAGCTCATTCAGAGCATTCTAATGCATCGACTAACACCCTCCAAACCATCGTGTGTGTATACTGTAAACTGTAAAGGGGAAATTTAAAAGCTTCCCATGGATTCTTATCCTTTCATCCTTTTATTGGCGATAGTAACACTTGCAGGTTATGGGGATGATAATACTTGGACTTTATATGCTACCTTCTATACAAAACTTGGAAACTTGCATGAATGAAACCTCTTACTGGCCCCTGGGAAATCACAAAATGCAAAATATTTCTGTAGTATCTCTAACCATGTTCTGTGATGGCCAGACATTTAGTTCTATTTCAAGCTCTACTTAAAACCCACTTTTATATAGATTCTTTGAGCATCTAGAATGCAAACAGTCTGGTATTAATAACTGCCAGCTCAGACCTTATTTAGATTATTTTGAAATAATCTGTGATTCTTTGATTAATTATCTGTAGTTAGATTATCCCAATCTTTTTATTGAAAAAGAAGTCATATTTATTAGCATATGCATACACAGAAAAATGAAATGTAAACTTATTTTATGTTGCTCTTAACCTTGTAGCATCTTTTAAGAAAATTTTAATGTTGTACATGCCATTTTCATATGACTAAATATGGTGCATCTTAACTATGAACATGTGAAATTGATTCCATTGTGTCCAAATGGTATCTTCAATGTGAATAAAGCTGAAACAATATGCAGATTCTCTTTGGAAGGTGAGGCAGTTTGGGGGTTCTGTTTTATTTTGTTGTCAATAATTTATGGTTCTGTGATTAACATCCATCTTTTCTGGTGATGACATATGGGAAAACTTAGCATTTATTCTTCTTTAATGTTTTACTGGCATCTTTAGAGAGTTATAAAACAAGTATTTACTATTTAGTAGCTAAGCATTTCCCCCTCTTTGTTTCTTTAATTAATATATTGATCTAAACCAAATCTATAGCATAGAGCTTATTGAGACAGACAGCCTGAGCCTCTGTCATTGCTAACACTGCACACTTTTTCAGTAAAGAAAATATGGACAAAACTGCAGCGTGTGGACATGGAAGAATTTAAGACTTTTGCCAACAATATCTTAAAGATATTTCAAGAAGAATTGTGCTTTATTGCTTCCTCTGTGCCATTACATGTAACGAGGGTTTTAAAAAGACCAAATACAATTCTCTGATTTCCATTTAATGGAAGAAGCAATAAAGTTTAATTGTATACTTGAACACAGGGTGTCACTTCCAGTACATCTGATCAATAATTCATTGATTGCCTTTGGCTCAAAGTAGTATTTGAAAGAAGATGTAGCCAGTGGGGATTTATCTAACAGTAGCTTCATCATCTTTATTAATTACACTTTTCCTGAATTTGGATCACTAGGCTACCAAAGTGACGGCAGATGGCGAGCAGACTGGACAGGATGCTGAGAGGACCAACACAAGAGCAGACTCCTTAGGAGAGTTCATTAAGGAACTTGTCCGGGATGCAGAAGGTATTACAGAAGTCACAGTGCAATCGTTTTTTTCTCCCAACAGAAAAACAGAAAAAGGGATTACAAAGACTGGAATGCTCTAGTAAGAGATGTCATTTCTAAATGTGATGGTTGGATTTTAAAAAGCATTTTGGTCAAGTTATTCAAGGGCATTATCTGCTGAGAAGTTACAATCCAGAATGTTAAACTAGTGACAACAGTCGGTAAATCAGTAATTATGAGAGCAGAATAGCAGTAAATTGAATATACTCCTTTATGAATGTTTCAGATTTTAAGGAATGGCTATTATGATTAAATAACTAATGGGCAATTTATGATTTTCTATTGTTGTATTAAAATCTAGTTTAAAGATGTTTAATTTTTTAAGGCTAATTTTATCTATCTACTTGGTACATTAAAGCAGCACTTTAATTTTTCCAACTGCCTTCTAAAACACTTAGGACTGGTTTTTAATGAACACCTGCTGCTTGGGATTCGGATGTGCTACCTTACCAGAAGCTGCACCACACTTAGCCCCCAGTTCTCTAGGGGTTAGTTCTTGACATCTGCCAATCTGATTGGGAATCAGACTGGAAGCCATCTCTGGACAAAAGCCCAGAGAGCGACACTCTTAATAAAAACAGGTTTAAAAAAATAGTTCTTAAATATCTATTAATATATCATAAATGTACATTCATGTTTAGAAAGTAAGAAAAAGGGTTTGGGTGGATTTTTTTTTGTTTTGTCATTGTTGGTTGTTTTATTTTTTCCTTTTAAAAAGTGAGCTATTTTTATTACTCTACAATGTTATGCATTTTTATATAGTTTGCTTTATAATATAGCCGAGTAAGTCAGGACATGATATAGAACTTCAAGGCAGATCCAGACAGGTAATTCTTAGGAATCATTCGCCAAGAAGAGACAGAAACTCCCCAAAGTTCCCCACTACAAGAAGCAACAGAATTTTAATCTCAGGTGTAATCTGAGACAAAACATGTCAGGATCTGAAACAGAAATTACTCTTACCAGAAAATTCTCAGTTAATTCATGTGGTCAGTCCTCTGCCTGATGAAGTTATACTTTTCATAGTTTTGTTGACCACTAATGCCACCTAGCGTGCCCATCTTTCCCCAATGGGGGGAAAAATAATCCCACTGCAGTTTCACTGTGCCTGGGCACCGGAAGGCACTCGTCACTATTCAAGAAACATTCCTTTTCCTTCCATATCAGTCTCCAACACTCGACACCAAGAAGCCTATCCTGTGAACTATTGTTATCATTTCAATCAAACATTGGTACATAAGAATAAATGTTAATACATGTTTTCTGCAGGCTCGATTACCAACACTGATTACTCTTCTGCATTGTGCCCTCCACCTCCCTGTCTGTGCACTGCACAAAGGCCACCAGCAGGGGGCAGAGTGTAAATGATATTCAACCGGGCTTCACTCCCCATCCACTATTATGCATCAGAGAAAGGGGTTAAGCATCATCAAAGGTGTCTCCCATTCCTGAAAGTGTATAGCAGTGAAGCAGTCTGGTTGTGTTTGTTCACAGCGAGCACCTTTTTCGGATTCACGTGAAGGGGCGTGTGGGGTAGCTGGGATTCTGTGCCTGAGGAATATGTGAATACTACTCTCTCCCCTGGCAAGTACTAACATATATGCTTACAAAAATCATCACCACACCCCTATTTAAAGAACTTGGACAGAATTAATCCAACTGTTAAAATTTCATGAAAACTTAAATTTGAATATGCCAGAGTTAAACTAAATTCCAACTGAGATGTGTGTATGTGCTGCAAGGCTTTGTAGTTTAGGGGATTTTTTACAGTAAAAAAAGGCAGCTCATCAGACGCTTTCGATGGGTAATGCAACACATCCACTCCTTTTTTTCTCTTAAAATGACAATAACTAGAATAATTATCAGTACTTTTGGGTTTCATTAGTGGCAGTAAATTTCTGGGAAGAGTGAGTGCTTCAGCCTGGCACTATCTTGTTCAGTTTCATTTTTAGATAGATGGAATACCTAACTCACCTTATCTTCTGTCATAAGTCATGGCCTCTTTACAGATAATCGACATCTATTAATCTAAAGCATTCTTATCTCAGTATAATTTTTGAAGTATACTTTGCTGTGACCCCTGATTAGGTTATGAATAAACTCCATTTCATTCCACACACTATAGGAAGTAGTGGGTGAACATATATATAAACCCAGCAGTGTATGTCCTGACATATAATGGGCCTTAGTCAATGTCAAGCACCTTTGTTTTCTGTTTCTTGGATCACAGTGGTATTTGTTATTTAGGATAAATTTACCTGTCAGAGAACTTTTTTTCAGGTTCATTATAAACAATAGCTGTGCTTCTCTTGAGGAATTATTTTACTTGTATTTACATATACTGTATACCTTTTAATTACCTCATTTTTCCCCCCCACTATGCCTTGGCTACTAAGATGCTTGGCTCTAGGTTTAGGATTCACTGCACTGAACGTTATGGCATGACTTTTTGCCTGTTAGCATTTCTTCTGATTTACATTAATTTTTTAATCTTTACTATCTCCTTTTAGGTTGATTTTATCTTATTTTAAAGAAATTTTAAAAGTACTTCTAATTTTCTTTGACATAAGGTAGAAATGAGTAAATTTAAAAAACATATTTATTACAATGATCTTTCAGTACTGTTAAAACCATGCCAAAGCTGTAGTGTACATGTCTGAATAAGAGACTAACACAATCACCTTTAGTTTAAAAGTGTTCAGAGAGTTTCTAACGTCCATAGAGGCTGTGGAGCAATCACTACTTTTCTGAAGCAGTTTTTGAGTACACTAATAATTTTTCCTGGCTGCTTATATGTTGCTTTAGTTTAAAAGAAATGATGCATTTCAAAAGGTACAGCCATATTTTCCTTTCTCTTTCTGATACCATCCTTTTTCCACCAGATTATTCTCTGCAGAAATTCAGCTTTGAGAATGGTCCACGAGAGAAAAAGGAGGCTGCAGCTCACATCGCTGCTCCCCTCAGTACCACCTATGCCCCAAACCTAAATTCAGTTAACAAGCAGCTTTGGCAGGTTGGCAACTGGGGTTCATCCCTTTAGTTAAAAAAAAAGTGGTGGCAAATTAAATCAGTGGTTACTTACATGCTACAACTGGTCAAAATCAACTGCACAGAGGCATGCACTCAGACTAAAAACAGGAGCTGTGTGACAGGCACAGCCAAATCTGCTATTGCTTTTCTCGAAGTCTAAGAAGTAGAAACCTTCTCAGATATCGTCCTCATCATTCTAGCGTGATTCCCACATAATATACTAGACCAAGGAGCTTTCAGATCAATCAGTCCACGGTCATTATGGTCCCTTAACAAACATGACACAGCCTAGGTGGTATATTGCTGATAATGGGGTGAGATCTTGAGAAGGCTCTTTGGCATGTTTCAAGGTTGACTGTGAGCCAGCTGACCAAGACGGAGCCATCGTCTCTGCCTTCTAGGAATACAGCACCTGAGCAGTCATTTCTACCAAAGGTATTTCTACCAAAGGGGCTAGGAATGCCCATATTTGTTCTTCAAAACACCTGATTTAAATTGTTCTACAAATTAAACTGTGGCTATTTCAGGGGAAAGGGCTAACTCAGCAAACTTTCTAACCAAAGACATTTATCATGAAAATAGAATTAGAAACATGCATATGGAAAGGGTAGAATCATAAGTAGAAACTCAATTTCTTCTACCAATCCAGTGATTCTCAAACTCCCTAGCATGCATCCAAAGCTCCTGGAGGACTTGTGAAAACATAGACTGCTGGTCTCCCATCACCTGGAATATGTGACTCAGTAGGTCTGAGGTGGGGCCTAAGAATCTGAATTTTAAACAAGTTTTTAGGTAGTGCTGATGCTGCTCATGAGGGGACTACATTTCAGAGTCATGGTACTTCCCCAGCCTTAGGACACCCACCATGGCTGCTCTGTGTGGTCTGACAAGGTGCACCACTTTTAAGAGCTTGGCCCATACTGTCCTTGGAATATCTCTTACCAATGCCAATCAGAAAAGTTTCTCTAAGATAGAAATGGATGTCAGGATTTTTCATGTCTTAAAGAAGTCTTAGTATAGTGCCTTGAATGGTAGAAAATGCTCCTTGGCAACCCAGAGCCCTCATTCTAAGGATTTTCATAGGTAATACTATAGAAGTAAGGGTTTGGCAGACAAAAGAGTTAAGAAAAATATCTTATAGCAACTTGTTAAATTAATGTTCCATAGAACACACTTCAGGAAAAGTTGGTCTAAAATTAATGGTAGAACTGCAAGAATGTTTCAATTCACCAGTTTTTCAAATTTTTATTTGACATAGAATTCTTTTCTCACATGAAATCTTTCCCAGAATACCAACCTGTAAAAGAAATTCTTGGCAGAATAGACATCATTTCTAGAATACCCGGAGCACCTAGAGAATCCTAGATTTCCAGAGAGCACAATTTGAGACCCCACTTAATGCATAATAAACACAGACTCTGATGATGGATGTTATTGCTGGAAGGCATCTTTGAGCCCTAATCTGTAACACTTGTCCCTGGACCAGTGCTCTTTTCCTCCTTTAAAAACATGAACACAGAACTGCGTTGAAGTGCAAAGACAGGTTTGTTTTTAGATATCTCCTCACTGATAGTGCTTCTGTACTCAATATTTTCAAAAAGGCTGAATATGGTTGTCTTACTAATGATGTAGACCTTATGTTTTCAGCTTCCAAGTGCTGTGCTATATCTCATTTTTTCCCCTCACCTGAAAGGAATTTGAGCCACATTTTTCTGTATTTCTCCTTTCTGAGGCATAGACACCCTGCTTTAATTACAGTGCCCCCCAAAAGAAGAACAGTATAGAGAGGTGTTGCATTACCCTGTTAGTTCAGGCCTGTTGTATGAACTACCTCCCTTGCCCAGCAGGAGCACCATGACGGACTACATTTCACTTGGAGATGGTTGGGAAGAGCAGATTTGAGTGGCATTTTTGCATGCGGCATTCTTGTTTACTAATTGGTAAAATTTGTTTTACCTCCTGCAGCTGTAAATGAAAAAGCTATAAAACTAAATGAAACTCTAGGAATTCAAGACAAGGACTTTGAGAGAAATTTGCAAGGGCTACAGAAAGAGATTGATCAGATGATGAGCGAATTGAGGAGGAAAAATCTAGATATGCAGAAAGAAGTTGCTGAAGATGAGTTGGTGTGAGTAGATTCCCTGTCATGTTTTCATTTGATAAACTGAGCTTTCCAGATTGTTCAGTTTCCCAAATTTTCCATCACACACGTGAGTATAAGATACATTGCTTGCTGTTTAGTTTTTATTTACTTAGTTATAATTTAGCTTGCTCTAAAATGGATTGAAAATATGTTTTTGCCCATATGTAAATACCCAAGTAATTGAACTTTTCTGGTGCTGTCCCCTCTATAATTAGGCTTGTGGGCTTGCTTTATTAATTGCCTGTATTTGGAACATTTAAACTATCAACAGTTTTTTATTTTGATGAAAATATATTTTAATACATAAAGCTATGAACTTTGCAGATCATCCTATATGTTCTGTCATCTCACAAAATGCTAAACAAAAGAGTCATCAAATAATAAATGCTTAATACCTTGATATCAGGGTTAGGAATTTGAGGTGGGAATAATAATAGTAGTGATTTTACTGATGCAAATTAACTCATTTGACCACACACTCAATAAAAAAATACATTTTTGCATTTATAGCTAAAGTGATGGGATTATTAATACTTTAATAATGTATATTAAACTAACATTAGCAATACCCGATAACTTGTTAGAAATACAAATGATCAAACCTCACCCCAAAACGACTGAGTCAGAAACTGTGGGGGTGGGGCCCAGCAACGTTTTGACAGTTGCTTCAGAGGATTATGATGCCTGTTAGTTTCGGAACTACTGTTTTTCCAGTATTCAGCCTTTTTTAAGGGCTCAGATATTTTCACTTTAGGAAAACTATTGTTAATCCCAGGAAACTCCCAGATTACTCAGAAGAAAAAGAAAAGTAGGTTAAAAACATGGCTTTATACTAGCATGTCAATAAGAGTTCTGTTCACTTTTTCTAACCAAACATATCAATATATTTATACCTTATATTTAAAGTGACAGGAAATGTTGCATTATGTTGAATCAGGTAGCATTTTTATTGGTATGTGAAATAAATCATAAAACTCACTTCATCAGTCAGATTATGAGAATGAGGTCCTTTCCCATTGAAATTTTATATTACTAACAAATTAAAAATCTGTGGACTGGGGTTTAATTTTAACTGTAAATAACCTGAAAATAAATTGTAATAACCTTTTCAGGCATCCGTTTTCAACTTAGTTTAGCATATAGCCAGTCATCTTTAAGCATTGTCTTATTTTTCCATTCTTTTCATATTAGCATCTCTTTGTAACACAGTTTAATACCAATAAACCCTGAGGAAATGTCAGGGCTCACTGTGTGCGGTTGGGCTGGGGTGTTTGCAGGGCTGCGGAAGGCCTGCTGAAGAAAGTGCAGAGGCTGTTTGGAGAGCCCCGAGGGAAAAACGAGGAAGTGGAGAAGGATCTCGGGGAGAAATTAACAGACTACAAAAACAAGCTTGATGATGCTTGGGACCTCTTGAGAGAAGCCACGGATAAAATCAGAGAAGCTAATCACTTATCTGCAACAAACCAGAAAAACATGACTGCTCTGGACGTGAGTCTGAGGGGCTGTTTCATCCGCAGCTGGGGCTGCGGGGTGGGGGTCGAAGGAACATGGTGGCTGAGTTAGCTCCCTTACAGAGATCTGGAATGACAAGTCTGAAAGGAGACTTCCGAGAAGCAGAACAGGGAATGCTCTTTCTCCTTTTTAAATCCATGATCATGGCCCATAAAATCAAATAAAATGTAAGTAACTCAAACTGTTGAAGATTTAAGAACAGTGCAGTGCAGAGGAAGGAGCTCTTCAGTGGGAGTCAAAGGACTTTGGTCTCAGTGACAGCTGTGCCACTAACTAGAAGTACAAGTTTGGGCAAGTCAATTCAAGTCTCTCAGCCCTGGCCAGTGTGGCTCAGTAGGTTGGTGCGTCACCCCCATGCACCAAAATGTCACAGGTTTGATTCCCAGTCAGAACACAAACCTAGGTTGCAGTCTTGACCCTTGAAAAGGGCACCTATGGGAGGCAATAGATGTTTTCCTCTCACATCAGTGTTTCTCTCTCTCTCTCTCTCTCTCTCTCTCTCCTCTTTTTCTCATTCTCTCTCTTAATACTTAACATGGCAAATTGATCACTTTTCCCAAGAGTAAATTTTTGTCCAAACAATGGCACAAACCTGTATTTGGTATTTAAAAAGCAACAACTTTCTCTCAGAAACAAACTTACCTTTGCTGTCTTCATAGTATTTATTTGACCCTCAACAGTTATGAAAAGAGTAGCACACCTAAATATCTTCCAACAGATAATCTCACCTTCAGCTATGACTGAACTCTCGCTGCATATTTGTGGAATGACAGTTGAGTAAAATGAATCTGGATTTTTTTTATCTACTCGTTTCTATCCATTTTTCTTTGGATTAAGAGGAAGACAAACTAATTTTTTAAAAGTTTTTTTTCCAGATCTCTCTCCTGGGAATTAACCTTGTCATTTTGATAGAAGATTGAAGAGGCTCAATTTTTCCTTAACTGATGTATCTAATCTGAACCAATCTAGAGTGCACTGACATGCTGGCAATATTAAAGAAAGAGCTCCATCTTACGAGGCAGGGTGCTGGGCCGTTGTCTTGCCAGAGGCTCCAGCACGATTCATCCTGCCTGGTCACATGCCAGTGGTATCACTTACCCAGAGGTGTACCTCTTCCCTTTGTGGCAACAGCTGAAGAAATTAAAATTACCTGTGTGGAAAGTATAATAAGCATTTAGGAAATAGTTCAAGAAGAGCTATGGTGGCCCAGTAAATGGTGCTTTTAGCTATTCCTTCCTTTTAGTGATGTTTAAAACGAGGAGCCACTGTTCTTGCCCTACCCTCTCCCCCACCCCTGCCCTGTTCCCCAGAGATGCCTGGAGTTTACATAGTCAGTACTGGAGTTCTAAGTGGTCCTTTTCGTATATTCATTTCATATGCCATGCTTAAGTAAAGGCTTGTTAAAAACTGCCTAGAATGAATAGATAAACTGATTAAATTAATATAAGTCAGGCACAGCATATTTAAGGCTATTTGCCAAGGCTGATTGATGTTGATGACCCAGTTGGCGCTAGACTAGCTAGAAAGGAATGGCCCAGAGAGTTTGTCGAACACACGGGTTCCTTGGACTCGCAGACTGAGTTGGCTGATCCAGGGTGTGGCCCAGGATCCATATCCTCAAATTTTTCTTGGGTTAATCTGATGTGCATACTGGTCTGAGAACAAAAAATACATTGTATCCCTTTGATTGAATAATGAGTTGTTCTTTTAAATAAATAGCTTTATTGTACCTGTGTCCACCAAGGGGTTCATCTAATTAAGACTTAGCTCAAACAGGATTTTTTGGCCCCAGCTAGCATAGCTCAGTGGATTGAGCATGGGCTGAGAAACAAAGGGTCACCAGTTCGATTCCCAGTCAGAGCTCATGCCTGGGTTACGGGGCAGGTCCCCAGTGGGGGAGTACGGGAGAGGCAACTGCATATTGATGTTTCTCTCCCTCTCTTTCTCCTTCCTTTCCCCTCTCTCTGAAAATAATCTTTAAAAAATAGGTTTTTTAAATTTATTTTTTTAATCTAAGCATGTACTTTTTATTATTAAAAACATTTAACAAGCCCCTTCTAAGTTCAGAAGATGTGCTAAACACAAAAATCAATAATGTCAAGTACTGGTCCGCATTGTATGGCCCTTGGAACAGCAGCATTAGCATCAACTAGAAACTTGTTCAAAATGCAAATTATAGGACCCCACCCACAACTAGCAACTGAGAAACTGTGAGTAGAACCCAACAATGTGTGTTTAAAAATTCCTCCAGTTATTCAAATGCAGCCTTACACTTGAGAACTTAATTTAAAATAGAATGCCATGTCTGATGACTCTAGGTGGCTTGTATTGATTGGGAGGCACACACAAGTAAACCATCCTATGCACTTGACTAATTATAGAGTCAAGCAGAGAAAAAAGAACATCTCAGTCACTACTGGGCTCAGGATGGGCTTCACAGGGTACCTGACACATCACAGGTTAACTCCTAAAGGGTGGGGCACTTGCTAGTCACAACAGAAGGGGAAGAACATTCCAGAAATAGGAAAAAGAACATATGCCAAAATACAGAAGAAGAAAAGAGTAAGACATTCTGGGGCAATTCAGTGGTTTGATAGGACTGAAATGCAGACTGCATGTGAACAAGTGAGGGGATAGAAAGCCAGCAAAGACAGAGCCAGGCTTTGCGTTATAAGAGAATTGCATTCTGAGACTAAGCCAAGGAATTTGGGGTTTTATTCTGAAAGCTATTGGATGCAATCGAAGTACTGGAATCGTGGATTAAAATTACATTTTTGGAATTGTGAGTGGTTCATGTAAACTGTAGAATTGGTTTTGTGTTGGGAAACAGTGTGATACAAGGCTAGGAAAACAGGCCAGGGTAACATTTAAAGTCTGTTAGACATCTACCATCTCATGGTGCCACTGGTAACCAGGGGGTTTGAGGTTGAACAGGAATGATTCCCGGACTCATAGAACTTAATTTCCCCAAAATTCAAGCATTTTAACCTTTTACTACATGTAATTCTATGGTTAATAGGGGCTGGGAGAATGGCGAAACAGTAGAAACAACAGCATAACAGAAATAATAGCATCATAGCAGAAATTGAGAGAAATTGATAGACATGATGAAGCATCTTGGGCCCAAACACAGAGCTCTAAAAATGTAAATCACTCTAAAAAATGTCACATAGAGTAGTAAAGCTCATTCATAAGCTACATAAAAGTCTGTAGGAGAAGATTTGGGAAGAGATCAGAGAAGGCTTTGAATGCAGCCTTCTGGGAGCCAATGGGATTAGAAGAGCATTTCCAGAAATGGAGAGAAGGCGGAGGAACTTTGTGCCAATGAGCAAAGAGAAGATGAGCAAATCAGTGAAACAAAAGAGCATGTATTGAACAGGCTGTCTCCATTCTATCATTACGACCTTGCGAAAGACAGGATTGCCATGAAGGTCTTAAGACCGAGTTGCTAGACAAAGGACTGACTGGAAGGTAGCTTTCACAGCTTTCAGTCCACCCCACACAGTTCACCCTCACCCTCGCCAACCCCCCACATACAAAGTGTTAAACTTACTGAGCTCTGGAATAAATTAAGATCTAATTAAAAGTTAAAAGTAGAACTATAGTCAACTGTGGTGTTCAACTGGAATCACTTAATTATGCTTACAGAATACTTTGGGGGAATAATTCTGTATATATGGTCCTCTTTTTTATTCCTCAGACACTCGAAGCTGTCTACCTTAGGAATTTTATACCCTACATCATTATCTATTCATTGCCTCTCTTTATTTACTTTTATATCATTCATCATTGCTTAAAATATACATTAATTTTTCTCATTCATTTTGTCCCTCTTCCAGGCAAGTCATGAGGAACACAGCCCCTTGTTCACTCTATCCCGGCCCAAACACTGTCTGCCATAATCTCGTTTCTCCAATGAATAAATAAAGTACCATAAAACAAACACAAAAACATGTTACATATATACCTTTTATTAATATTTAGGTGCTCCAAGTCTCCATTTTTTTCCCTTGGCTCAAAGTTAGGTTCTCTCAGTGTCTGATCTGAAAGTTAGCCACCTCTGAAATCTCCTGAGTCTCAAGATCATTATTTCTGTTTTAGCATGATAAAGAACACATTTTCAAAACACAAAGTGATTTGAATAGAGCTTTTATAAAGATTCTTTTTGCCTAATGTACATGTGGAAATGTTCTCCCTTCCATTGGTACAGCATTTTAAGTTACCTTGATTCATTAATATAAACAAGCCATGCTGAAATTCTTGAATGTCTCTGTACACGGTATAACTTTAAATCAGTTCATGTGAAAACTAAGGGCTATAATTAGTAGTTATGTAAAAGAATGTCAGACCCTTGGAAGATAAAATATGACTTGTAATCAGGAGCATCGGGACTACCCCTGTCTTCACTGACCCTGAAGGAGGAAAGGACATCTTGAAACTTTCTCTGTATTAGCCAGTGATAGCAGTGGCTGGTAAGCTAAGTGTCACCAGTTCAAGTTTCAGGAATGGGCTCTAATTTCATTTATTCATTCAAGCATATTTATTGAGGAAACTCCTTTAGATATTAGAGATATGATGATACATAAGAATGTTTTTGTGGAATGTATATTAGAGTGATGGAAATAGTCACTAAAGCAATAAATAAGTAGTATATATATATGGCCATGAACTCTGGAGCATGGGTAAATATAATAGTAAGTGATATGTTTAGTGACATTGCATGATGCATTCAGTATGTTATTCCATCAGCTACATACAGTTCAGCTGTGGGTTTTCACTAGTCCTTGTGCATGAATATTGTGATGAATTGGTGTTGCTGATTTTTAAATAATGTGCAATTAAGATGGTTCAATCTATAGAAAAAATAAAATATTGTCTATGTCTATATAATATAGAATATAACTTAGATAAATGAGGGCTAAGAAGAAGAACAAAATAAGGTAATATAATAGTCAACAACTGCATTGTGTTTACTATGCTCCAGGCAGTGTTCTAAGCTAGTTCTCAAATTTTACTGTGTATATCGCCTGGGGTTCTTGTTACATTCAGATTCTGAGTTGAGAGTTCCCAAAACTCATTGAGATCAAACATTTCTAACATGCTCCTTGAGGCTGCTATTGCTGCTGGTCAATGGGCCACATTTTGAGTAGCACATAACCTTAGTGAATCTAAATTAGTCACCCCAGGTTTCATTGTTTGTGAGCATGGGTGGAGCTGGGATCCCAGCCCAGGCAGGCTGCTGCCTGAGTCTGGTGCATAATAACAGCCCTCTAGTCTATTGGAAATAATTGAGAAAAAGAGGAGTACTGTCTTAGATAGGTGATCAGAGAAGTGACCATCAGCAGAGAATGAAGGAGGAAGTCAGACAAAGAACTGGAGAAGAGCACATGGTTAAGGGAAATGCAAATGTAAAGGCTCAGGTGCAGAGACAAGGGTATATTAGATGAGATGTATATATACCTGGCAACACACTGACACTGTTGGGGAAAAGGTAGGGAAAGAAGGGTGTGAATTAGTGCTACCCCAGTGCAAACAAGAAATGCAGTTTCTACAGCAGATGAGTCAGTACTTTCATAGCTCAAGGCCCAGGTTTTATCATTAGGTCGACCAGGGTTGGATCTTAACTACATTGTACTAACTGTGTGACCTTGGGTGAATCACTCGACTTGTTTTATTTTCTATTCTACTTATTGTTCTTTAATTGTTATTATTAAATTTACTGGGGTGACATAAGTTAATAACATACTATAGGCTTCAAGTGTATAATTCTGTGACACATCATCTGTATATTGCATTATATGTTCACCACCCTAAGTTAAATCTTCCTCTTTCACCATGTATTTGACGCTGTACTACTTTGCTACCCACTTTTCCCACTGGTAACCACCATATTGTTGTCTGTGTCTGTGAGTTTTTGTTTTCCTTGTTTGTTCCTATTCTTTTAAAAGGTAATAAACCCTGGATCCATTGAATTAATGTAGAATTAAATAAGAAAAGTTTATAAAACTACCTGACACATATTCAGATCAAACTGAATAAGTAAAGTGACATTATTATTTATATAAAAACATAAATGGCAGAGGCGTAAAATTATAATCGATTCTGTAAAATCCACAGGCAAAAAAGTGATTGGAAGAATATAAATGAGTCAGAAGTAAAAAGAAAAAACAATAGGCAAAGTCATTTTCCAAATAAAGAAATAGCACTAAGTCTCTCTCAGTGATTTTACTCTTCTAATTTTGGGATAAGTTTCATGTAGTGTTGAGACAAGCTATCACTTACAAAGAAAATTAGAGTCTGCTGTATTCTTGTAGAGTCTCCATTAAGTTTATTCTTCCATATGATAGTTTCTTTTTTTTTGAAAAGTACATTCCCTAAATTCCCTTGGAAATCCAATTTCTTTCAATTTTTCAAGAACTCCCTTGGAATAAATCTGCTTGTGTATATGCTCATAAAATACTCACTGGAACTTAGATTCTGAAATTCAATATCTAGTTCCAATGTAATTCACTGTACTATCCCATGTTCAGTAATACATATTCAGCACTTACATTTTACTTAAAAAAAAAGGTTGTTCATCTTGCTTTAAAAATAGTTTTTAATTCCTCAGCTACTGTCACATAACTTTTCTTCTCTTGAATGACTTTCTCACAGTGGGGTGAAGAAAGTACTTGTATAGGCATTTAAGTAAAATAACCCTTGGAAGATTGGCTGAGTGGTTTGCATTACTCTTACCTGGCCTCATTGTCCACATGGCATACCGTGTTTGCCATGGCTCTGTTAGACAGCTCAGGGAAGTCAGGAACTCGGGCTTCATAGGGTTTTCCCCGAAGGCGTTCTGATGTTTTGTTCATACTGTACTACAGAAAAAGAAAGAGGCTATTGAAAGTGGCAGACGACAAACTGAGAACACTTTAAAAGAAGGCAAAGACATACTTGATGAGGCCAACCGTCTTGCAGATGAAATCAACTCAGGCATAGACGTGAGTATTTGATAAAACCTAAAGTAAAAAGAAAGATGGTAATGATGTGGGCTTTCACAAATGGGAATCAATGAGAAATCTCAGTAATGTAAGCAAATGCTCATGTTTTTTTGTCTTGTGGGTGAAAAGTTATTTTTGCATTTTTGTATTGTGACCCAGCCCACCTACTGGCAACAGTTAGAACTTCCTATTGTTCTCCAGTAGATAAGGATGTCTGTGTGAGGGTTCTCATCCGCTCCCACACACCTGTATTTTTTCCACACTGAAAGATATTACTTATTGCTAGGACAGCACTTACAATCTGTCTCAGTATTCATGTAACATTAGTTAAAAGAGAAATGCAAATCTACAAACAGACTTTTTAACATACTGTCTAATGCAGTAGACACTAATATATGGTAATAAAAACAAATGGTCTAAAAGATTCTAATGAGGATCATTTAAGCATTTATACCTGTGAAGCAGTATTTTTTTAAAGGTAGGTTCTTCTTGATGTAAATTGCGTATTTTCTAATCTCATTAAATAACAACTTTTATTCTCTATTTTCTTTTTGCTATGTTGGTAAATTTGAAGTTTCATAAAAAATTAAAGATGTGTAATTTTATCTCAGAGACTAATTAGTAAATGAGAAAAGGCTTGGATTCAGTTTCTCAAAATACCCTTTTTTCTTTCTGTAACAGTATGTTAAAGACATTCAAACTAAATTACCACCCATGTCTGAGGAGCTGAAAGATAAAATAGATGACCTCTCCCAAGAAATGAAAGACAGGAAGCTTGCTGAGAGGGTGTCCCAGGCTGAGAGCCATGCCGCTCAGCTGAATGACTCATCTGCTGTCCTTGATGGGTATGTCATCTGTTGTTGGAAATGTCTGTGCATCCTGACACTCGTCCAACGGTTCTGACTCTCAGAAATGGTAGAGAATTGCTTTCAAATCTTGATTTCTGTAATTATGAGCACACGAGCTACGTGGCCTCTCTGTGGAAGAGCCTAATTAGGATGGTCTGGACAGAGCCCCACTGGAGCAGCATCAAACATCTGAGCTAAAAGTGGATTCCAGTGTGGCTGGGCAGGGAGTGAACACAGCCCCAGGCCACGCTTAGAAGACGTGGCTTTGTTCTTCATTAGAGAACAGAACCGTTGCGTTATTAGCATTTTAAATAATAATGTATAAGCACACAGTCTGCTGCAAGTTTCAGTTTTATATTTTTAATGAAACCAAAACTATCTATGGTTTAAAGGGTGGCTTTTGAAAATGTGGCCCCATGCATACTCGTTAAGTCATTTTTTATTTTCAGACTCCAGGGAGACACGATATATTCCTCTGTGAAATAACAGCTCACTAGAGCTGGGATTCTCATGTGGGTCAAAGGAGGGAGAGGCAAGTGGGGAGGTGTGTCTGATTTATGAACAGCCTTCTAAGTAAAACTGGTGTGCTTCCCTACAATTATAGAGGTGTTATTAGCCCGAAGAATAATTTTCCCAAACAAATCTGTATTTCATATATGACGTGTAGTGTTCTGTTCCACTATGTAATACTCAGTGATACAAAGGAAAATATTAATGTTTGAAGGCCCATAATTCATGCACAGTTCATTTTATAACAAACTTTTGCCAATTTAGCATAAAGGGCAGTAGATGGATCAGTAAACTAGAAGTCAGCAGATGCTGACTCAAGCCCTTAATTGGCAACGTGTTGGACAGGTGACCTGAGACAAACTATTTAACCTCTGACAGTCATTTATTCTCATCAGAAAAATACACCTGCCCTAGAGAGATTTGATGAAATTTATTCCATAAAATTCCATTTGATGAAATGTGGTACAAGTGCTCTGAAATGTGTAGCATTCTTTACAAATGATACGAAGGAGCATCTTGCTGCACACACTTGCATGATGTACACGGTTACAGAAGCTTTGGGGGACGCTATGCATATGTAACGATCTGCCAGTAATATAAGCTTTCATAGCTGAATGTTTTAGAAAGCTGTGTTTAAATTGAAAAGTATAACATAATGCAGTAAGTAGGTAGCCCACTATGATGTGTAAATTATCATAATTCTATTGGCCATGGTTGCTTGGGAACCATATTTGTTTTAAGTAGGGTGCTCTTCATTTGACTACCTGCTCCGATGTTCTTTTTTGGGGTAATCCCAACAGAATCCTTGATGAGGCTAAGAACATCTCCTTCAATGCCACGGCAGCCTTCAAAGCTTACACCAATATTAAGGACTATATTGATGAAGCTGAGAAAATTGCCAAAGAAGCCAAAGGTCTTGCACAAGAAGCTACAAAACTGGTAAGCAACAAATAATGTTATGTACTGAGAATGGAGGTCCATCTGTTTGAAGAAGTACCTAAACTAAATTTCTCAACTCTGAATGTTGTTTTCTTTTGGAAAATCCCAGTGAAATAGAATCTTCGTTTTGAATTATTTCCAAAGGTTTCTTTTACATGTTATCCAAAATAAACTCTCTGGGTACTGTAATCACAGCAGAATTCTCTGTCATCTCTATTTAGTACTGATAAAGGTCTTAAAATTACGACAAATGCCAAGTAGGTCTGTTCCACCTAATCACAGAAGAAAAATAGTCAAACATAAGATATTGGACAATGAAATTTGTTACTATTATTCCACATGCCATCAGTGCTAAAGTGCTTTGAAAATTAAGACATTGCTTATAGTCACACACAAATTGCTTACCTGTGAAGTTTGACTATAAAGTGCATCTGTTACAAAATGCATCAGATCATATGCTTCTAAAATATTTATACAATTTTTATTAATTGAAACTGTTGCTTTCAAAGCCACCCTTAGCTGCTGTCATTGTTCAAAATAAACTTGAAACTAAAATTTTAGAGTTTCAGGGCTACAAGTATATAGCACATTATCTGAGTGTCTTCAACAGCAAGAAATCTTCATCCTTTACATGGGGCAACATTTTGTAAATAAGTCACGTGATAAGTCATGGTACTAATATTTTAGGTCAAAAATATGCGATAGGAAGCACATGTTGAGTCAAAGTGTGCATAACCATTATTTACTCCTTTAGTTTCACATAAAAGGAACTATCTCCTTTTTTGATGTATCTCCTTGATACATCAAAATTTCAGGAAAAAAATAACCCAAATCAACATTTGACTCTGAATGAAATATGCATAAATAATTGGTGTTAAAGAAACAGATCAGTTTTGTGGTTTTTTTGCTTTGGTATTGGTCACAAATGCTTTTTGGATCTCAGGGATATTAGAGTTATTCACCACAATTTTAAAACATTTATGTTGTGGTCATAATGAAAACATTATACTCCTTCAGCAATTATTACTGTTTAGTTTTCTCTGGAATGAGTTCCATTACTGCCATTACATTCTGTTTCTTTCTTATTCAAAATAGTGATACAATTATTGCAGAAACTTCCCTATGCTTAGTAATCCTTTGAAAATCAATCTATTTTTTAAATCCAAACTAGATTCTTTATCCATCTTCTCATAGATAATTTTCTATTTTAAAGACCCTAATTTCTAAGTTCATTTTCATCTGACCTATACTTTACTGGATGACCATTTTCAGCATCAAACACAGTGCCTGGCAAATAGTAGGCACTTGTGAATGAATGATGAAAGAGTGAATGTCATTCTAACTGGCATTTTTCATGCCTTTTACAATCTCTTGTACCATTAAAAATCTTAATCTCACTATTGTCATTGTTTTAGCCTTGTACACTTTTTAACATTTTATGTTAAAGAGCTCTTTAATTTCACCCCAAGTTAATACTACCACTTTATACTTGGGAGAGTCCCAATTTTATGCTTGCATGAGATATGCACTTTTCCTCACCACTATGTTTATGTGTGATAGGCTAGCCCACTTCAGACACAGAGCCAGGATGGTCATAATGCAGTGCAGCATGTCCCCTTGTTAGCATGATCCCTTCTTACCGTAAACCGTGTGAAAATAATTACATGTATGAAAAATTACAAAGTAAGTGCTATAGGGAACCACTGGTTTATTAAATGGCTAATGGCAAACACAAAGAAGACTGACCTGCCCCAGAAAAGGATGGTTTCAGTTGGGAAAGGTTGGGCACGCTTGATATAAGGTTGCTCTGTGCAAGAGTGGAGGAGTGAGGGGCCCTCAGTGCCATCAGATGACTTGCAGTGAATGATCCATCTTTATTTCCAGGAATGACTGGCATCCTCTACTTTATCTGTCGTTTCTGAGGCCTGACCTTTTTCAGATTCTCTGGGACACCTTCCTAACTCATCCCCACTCAACAACACGAGTGTACAAGTGCTAAGGACGGAAGGGGAGTAAGTGTCTAAAGGCTTATGTCAGTGTGGTTAGAAGAAGTGTCCACCCTGTTAAAGGGACAAGTCCCCTGGTGGAGTCACACACTTTCCTTTATCTTCTCTTTACTCCATCAGAGTTTTAGTTCCCACTAACCCCTCCTGCATAGTAGAGACCCCATTTTATCTAGTCTCTTGCTTGCTCTGTGCAATCTGCTCCTATGGTGGCTGCCACCGTTTCATACCTTGGTGACCGTGATGTTTTGTTTTATTTCTACTTCCATTTCCCAGAAAAGAATATCTCCAGAAATAAAATTTAAGCTGACAATAGACCCCCCAGTGGACAGAAACATGGATAACCACAAATGACCCCCTGAGTGTTTCACTCTCACTATTCAACACACAATAGTCCATGATTTTCATAGAGTTAACATATGGAGTGATATATAGCAGGTGACCACTAAATGTAGATTACTCCTCCCATCTCCAAAAGCTGATGCTGGAGTCTAGAATGGCTAATATGCTCTAGATTTTCAGAATTGGCAAGATATTTATATTTCCACAAAAGATAAAAAAGTTGAAGAGAAGAACGTTTCAAAAGAAAAATAAAATTGCTTTCACTATTTAGTTTGTGGCAATGTCTATATATCTCTTTGAATACAGATGTCATGTAGGATTTTTTTAATTGGTAACAGTTAGGTTCTATAGTGGTATGCTGGAATTTCTGAAATCAAATTGGGGGAAAAAGATAGCATATCTGAATTGGGGAATTAGAGGACCTGTCTTAAATTTTAGCACATCTTACAGTCCATCCTGATCCCTCCCTCAGCTTAATTCCTATAATATACTCTCCCGAGCTTAGAACTTAATTTTTTCATCTAATTTAATGTTTAATCTTCAATCACACCAGTTCATATCTTTCTCTTATCAGTTAGGATGCTAATAAAAGATGCTTATGAACTATTTATTGATAAATATGATATACTAAGCATACACACATTTTCAATTTATCTTTAAAATTTTTAACCACACATTTAATGTACTTACTGTGTAAATGCCATTAGGAAACACAACCCACAGGGTAATCAGAGATGAACAGAATTCTAACTTGCCCTCAAACCTGTAATAATCATTTGTTTGTTATTTATCATGCTAATAGAAATGCTTTCCAACCTTTACCTACATAATTCATTTTCCCTTTATTGTAAATTTTCTTTTCATTCCTATTATCCTTTTCTTTAATATTATTAATATCATTTCTAATATTTTTATTAGTCTTTGAGTCCTTATGTAACAAGATTCTTCTGACATCACTGCTGTTGGTTAATAAATCATATAGTTAAACACTATAAATCTTGTTTAAACATTACATATGATTAAACATTAAGGCATTTCTAATAAGTGTTTATTTAGAAATATGGTAATGTAATCTCTTCAGTCTGTCTTATTTAATATTTACTTTGTGTAATTGGATGAACCAAAATGCATAAAAAACCCTTGCAAGGTCATTTTTGAGTTTTTAAATCCTACATAGAGAACTGGGCAAATATTGGCAGAGTACATAGTACATTCAAAAGGCCCCATGAAATACTCATGTAGTCATTCAGGCTGTAAACTTTAATCCCCACACACCTTCTATTTTATCCTGTCCTCCACTACTTGAAAGCCAAACAGTAATGTTGACTTCTTATTAATATCTATAATCACTGGCATTTTAATTTTATACCAGTGTAGTATTAATGGCAAAATGATATAAATGCATAATTGATATAATTGAATTTGCTAAGAAAGCTAGTGAGCATTTCTTCTTCTACATCAACAATTCAGCAACTTATCTACAAACCGAGTGATTCACACAATAATAACAACTATGAAAAAGTCAGTGAGGATCTAAGCAACCTAAAGAAATATTGAATAATCTGTGTAGGAAAACAGTGTTCATTAAGCCACCCTGACTTTAGTGATTTTCTTTGTACGGGGTACACTCGTTTGACTCAACTTGAAAAAATCTATTGGAAACAGAGAAGCAAACTGCTATTAATGATGCAGCACTAGACATATTTGAAAATGCAGGACACCAAATGTTAAAACTCAAAGTGTGTGTCATTAGTCAGGACTCAGAAACTCTTTGGGATGGTGCTACAATGCAACAGAAATCTGCTATTTAGGATTTCCCCCTGCAGTGGAATAATTAGGAGGAAAAATCACCATGTTGAGTTTGATTCTGGACATTAACTGGAAGGAAAACCTGTGCCTTCTGAGGATGCTGTGTAACTCGGCAGGCACTTCTTTACTGCCTTTACTCAAAATCAAGAGTCCTTGTGCTGCCCGCCCACCCTCCCCCCAACAGCTCTTCCGGTCCCTGCCTCTGCAGCCATCGAGTGGCGTGCGCGTGTACCAGAGCAATGGCTGGCGTGCCACCGTGGGTGGAAACCCGTTCTCACTTAGTTACAGATTTCCAAACCTTCCTTTGGTTGTCTTTTTCAGTGTTCTCATCTAGCTGAATACTCAGTCACTAATACCAAATTTTCATGATTTTGAGGATTTCCTATTTTGTCCCCAAGTCCCCTTTCTGCGCTAAGTTCCTTTCACTCTTCAGAGACTTGTCTAATCCCTCTCCCACTTTAGGACGTAGTGTGCAATGCTGGGATCTACAGCCTTTCCACAGGTTTTGGACCAAGGCCAGCACTGTGGCTTGTTTCTTTCCTATTTTCTTCTCTTTCTTTAGTGATTGGTTTGGTTAATCACTTTATCGCTTTATCGGTTAATCACTTTATCAGTTAATCACAATTGCTTTAGTGATTGGGTTAGTGTTTGGTTAATGTTGTTTTATTATATCAAAGTATCACAGGAAGACATATGCTTCAAACAACCTGCATTAAATTCTATTTTTAACACAAAAAGTATTTTTAATCTGTTTATAATCACAAACTTACTTCTTTCTTGACTCCCTTTTATTCCCTATTTTAGTTTACTATCCTGTAGCAGTTTTGAAATATAAGTTATAGTAAA